ATACATCTTACTATACGAATGGAACTGAAAATATAACCTAATACATCTTCTATACGAATGGAACTGAAAATATAACTAATACGTCTCTTTACGAATGGACTGAAAATATAACTAATACGTCTTCTTTACGAGTGGACTGAAAATATAACTAATACATCTTCTATACAAATGGACTGAAAATATAACATACATCTTCTTTACGAATGGACTGAAAATATAACTAATACATCTTCTTTACGAATGGACTGAAAATATAACTAATACATCTATACAAATAGACTGAAAATATAACTAATACATCTTCTTTACGAATGGACTGAAAATATAACTAATACATCTTCTATACAAATGGACTGAAAATATAACTAATACATCTTCTTTACGAATGGACTGAAAATATAACTAATACATCTTCTATAAAGAATGGACTGAAATTTGACTCTCTTATGTGTTACAAACAGCCAGGATTACTTTAGTTCATACTGCAGATTACACTTTAACTTTAGAAAATAAATAATAAATAATTTACACAAATAATTTATGTGTGTGCATAACACTACTCTTTTCTAAACTGTAAGTTCCTATGAAACAATAACATACCTGCTACATCTTAAAGTTTTTTAACTTGTCTTAGAGACAAATTTAGTATGAGGTCTTTTCCACTGTCCATGACAATAGGTTGAGGCAGTCTTCTATGGCAAATTATTATCACCACTAGGGCAGTTATAACCTAAGGAAATTTGTTTTGAGACCTAGATTACCTTAAATTTTATATGCAATGCAGTGGCTTGTTTTTTACCTCCAGACCAAAATTATGCTGCTTGTTAGGTATCAGAGGGCCAATATCTTCAGTTTACAATTCCTTTTTTGATGATTCTTTACTGGGTTTGTTCGCTCATATATAACCAAAAGGCTGTTTCTCATAAAGTCAATCCCACTTTTGTTCATGATTAACAACTTCTGACTTTGCAGATCTGCACTTAGTAATACTGCAGGATATATCTGTTGATCTTCTCTATCACAACATGATCTAAGTTTTGAGGACATTCTTTTCTTTCTCTTTGGGTTGTATGACAAAAGTCCATCACCATGATTAAACTTGGACTCGACATAATATCACCTCCTTACTTTTCCATTAGTTGACCTCAACTTCTTATAAATAAACTCATGAACAGAATAAGTGGTCTCATTCATATGAATGGCATATTCTTGGTAGATTAATTTGAACTTATCACCACAACTTAAGTGGAGGACCAGAGGCACTGTCAGTTCTTGACCAAATATGAGAGAGAGAGAGAGTGGGGTGAAACCCATAGCTTTATGTGTTGCAAGTCTACATCTCATAAAGAGTGGCAAATCTTGGTTCCACATCTTCTGTTTTTTATACAAGTAAGTGACTATCTGAACCAAAATGTTGTTTATGTTTTATCATCTGAAGAAAGTTAAAGTCTCTTCTTGATTCTCAAGAATTAACACTTTTAACAGTATTGGCTACAATTCTCACTCTTGATGAGAGCAAACTTCCATGAGGTCTCCATATCACGAGTAAAACTCCTTGACCACCTTTTGTATTAATGTTTCAGCTTCTGGTAACTTTGAAATAATGATTAATTATGTCACTAAACCAAGGACAGCTACTCTTTGAAATAGACCTTCAATATTATGTTATTTTACATTGACCACACAGTTGCTTTTGGGAGTTCCCTTTTTCCACAAGTTCAGCATTACTTGATAGCTCAAGTTACATTCAACACAGTAAACTGGTTAAGATCTTAAAATGTAGGTGACTTATTGTCCAAAGAATATGAAGATAGGGAAATGCTTAATATGGAAGAAAAATATAGTGACACAGACCATACCCATTCTTTCGTGACACTTCCACCATCCCATTTCCCACACGTTTTTTATCATACAGCTTAAATGAATCTTTGTGAACTTCATGATACAAACTGGATCTGTTCTTTCCTGGCTCTTGCATCTTTCTATTTCCTACATATGATTCTGTCACACAGCTAAGTAAATCTTACAGAGAACCATACTATTTAGATTTAAAAATATAAGGAAACATTATGTTTCAATATGGTCTTCCTGATTTCATCACTCAGCTAAGTGAATCTTACTGAGAACCATATTTCTTAGGTTTTAAAATGTAAGGAAACATTATCTGTCAATATAGTCTTCCTGGTTTACATCTAATCCATTTAATGAAAAGTCTAAAATTAAAGTTCTTGGCTTGAATAAACATAAAAAGTATTAGCCTCAAAAATTCAAGTTATCAATCTCTAAATGCAGCACAATCATTCCATAGGGTGAATCTGTGGTTAAACAGGTAATGGTGGAAATTCGATGACGAGGAACCCACTTTGAGACTAA